GATTTCGAATGTGAGTGCGTGCATCAGAATCCCTGGCCGGGCTTATTAAAACAGATGGGTGGGTCTCCCCCAGAGTTTCTGATTCGGTGAGTCTGGAGTGAGAATTTGCATGTTTCAACAAGTTCCCAGGTGATGAGTTTGCTGCTGATCCTGGGGTCGCATGTTCAGAACCAACGACCTAGATCCTCACAACTCAAAGTGTGGTCCATGGACCAGCAGCACTGGCATCACCTGGGAGCTGGTTAGACATGCAAAACCTCAGGCCTCATCCCAAACTCACTGAGTCAGAACCTGTGTTTTAACAAGATCCCAAGTTATTCATTTATGCATGAAAATCTGAGAGGCATTGCCCTAGAATGAACGTGCAGGGAGAGGGAATGAGGAAATAGGAGCTGAAATGGCAGGGGTCAGGGAGGCTTAACATCCATCATTTCACCAGTTGTAGAGTCTATCCTTTCTTCTCACACACAGTAAAGTGAAAAATAGGGCAAACATCAGAGGAACTCTGCAATAATCAAGCCAAAGGCAGCACTGGCCAGAAAGAGCCTTCATTGCCCCCGGCAGTGCTGGCCAGGGGCACAGTGACCTGGCTGGGATGACGTCCTGCCTAGCTGATGGCAGGGCTGAGGTAGCTTCTGCAGAAGCCAAGCAAACCAGGCCAGGAGGCACTAACTGCAGGAAAAGGGGCATCGCAGGTAGAGCCCAGGGTTCGACATTTACTCTTCCGAGGGCTGACCCTGTCCTTCCTTCAGTAAAGGAATGAGAACCAAGGCAGCCTATGCAGCCTTATAATAGACTTTACTCCCAGGAAGGAAAGAGTGGGAGAGACAGGGAGAAGGAAGCGAGGAGGAAGAGGACAAAAAGGAAAATGAGGAAGAAGGGCAGAAAATGGCTCCTGACCAAACAGCTTTTTTTATTTTTGAAACGGAGTTTCTCGCTTTTGTTGCCCAGGCTGGAGTGCAGTGACGCCATCTCTGCTCACTGCAACCTCCGCCTCCTGGGTTCAAGGGACTCTCTTGCCTCAGCCTCCCGAGGAGCTGGGATTACTGGCACCCAGCATCACATCCAGCTAATATTTTATTTTTAGTAGAGACGACAGGGTTTCACCATGTTGGTCAGGATGGTTTCAAACTCTTAACCTCAAGTGATCCACCTGCGTCAGCCTTCCAAAGCCCTGGGATTACAGGCGTGAGCCACCAAGCCCAGCCCCAAACAGCTTTTACCGAAATGTTCTGTGGACTTAAGGCTTGTGGGGTGGGCTGGAGGGGCTGGTTTTCCACAGTTCCCATTTGACCAGTTACCAGTAGCAGTGGTACCCGGTTGCCCGGCATTCAAGACCTCTCTTTAAATATGGGCCCTTCTGATCTAGCCTAAGAAACAGCACTGCTCCCCTGGGCCAGGCTGCCAGGAAGATACCACCCTCTGTGGTTCTTTCATCCTGCTGAGATCATACCTGATGACCAGCTCCCAGCTTGGGTCCTAGCTCCTCGTGGCTACACTCTTCCTACCCACTTCAGTCCCAAGTGCCACTCTGTGTGATTCCGTTTAAGACTCTCACATTTGCCTAAACTGGGGGCCATTCCAAACCTCCCAACAAGTCCCGTTGCCCAGGATTCGCTGGGGTGCCTATCGGAGCCACTTTGTTTTCTGAAATGTTATTAGACACTCTCAGTTTTGGAGCCCTGCAGCTGTGGCAGGAGGGCCCTGGGCATCCTGCAAAGCTCAAACAGACCATCTCTGATCTTGAGAGTAGGCTAGAAATGATGCAGAAGTTAACCTGACAACCAAGCAGCACCTCATGAGAGATGAGAGCATGTGTCGCTTTTTAAATAACAGATTTTAACACCCCTGGAAATACCAAAGAATGGTGCAATTCTTTTTTTTTTTTTTTTTTTTTGAGATGGGGTCTTGCATTGTCGCCCAGGCTGGACTGAGGTGGCGCGATCTCAGCTCACTGCAACATCAGCCTCCTGGGTTCAGGCGATTCTCCTGCCTCAGCCTCCCAAGTAGCTGGGACTACAGATGTGTGCCACCACACCCATCTCATTTTTGTATTTTTAGTAGAGATGGAGTTTCACCATACTAACCAGGCTAGTCTCAAACTCCTGACCTCATGATCCACCCACCTCAGCCTCTCAAAGTGCTGGGATTACAGGCATGAGCCACCATGCCCAACCGAATGGTGCAATTCTAAATGCTTGCATGGTAATGAGCACTGTACCATAAGCCACAACATCTACACTTTACATATCTGAGGGGATCTGGACCAAATGAGCCAGAGTCAGAATTCCTCTTCCCTCCACCTGAGAGGAGGCGGGAGGAACAATAGCTATGTTGCCTAAATCAAAGAGGTCAACACCTATGTTAAATAAGAAGTATCCACGGGTTAAGAGAAAGCATTCATCAAAACTGGTGATGCCTTGCAGAGAGACATTGTCACTGCTGGGGGGTGGGGGAAGTTGCAGAATCAATGGCCAACCCTCATGGCAAATTCCACAGGAGAGAAGGGATCAGGGCAAAGTTCAGCAGCATGTTTCTGAACTGCAGAGCGACATCTGGGACAGAAGGTTCTCCTATGGATTTGGACTCCAGAGATGACTCCACCCTAGCCAAGTAGGAGGCCCAGGATAGCAGCTGATCAGTAAAAGCTTGCCACAGCCCCGGGATAGGTCAAGAACACACCACAGTGGTTGTGAAATGATAAAGAATTTGCCTGGTCTTTGTGCTGGTTCCTCTAAATCCCTGGAAACTCCTAAGGGATAGGAATGTCTGTTATTCAGGGTGTACCCCTTGCGGCACACCTGAGTTTATACTAACTAGATGACTTTGAATGGGGGCAAGATCACCCCAGCCTCCTCTGGGGAGGAGAGAGAAACTGAGAGATTGAGTTCATTTAATGTGGCCCATGATTCAATCAAAAGTGCCTGTGTCATGGGACCCCAATAAAAACTCTGAACACTGAAACTTGGTGGACACGTTGATGTGCCAAGAAGGTGATGCCCCTTCATCCCTCGGGGAGAGGATATGGAAGCTCTGCACTAAAGACCCCCCCCCCAGAACTCCCCTGTATGGCTCATGTGGCTGGTCCTGAGTTATATCCTTAATAATAAAACCGTAATTACAAGTAGAGTGCTTTCCTGAGCTCTGTGGATCATCCTAGCAAACTATCAAACACGAAGGGACTACAGGAATCCCCAAATTTGTAGTTGCTCAGAAGTCCAGGTGGTCTGGGGACCCCCAAACCTGAGGCTTGTGGATGAAGTGAGGGCAGTCTGATGGGGAGCTGTATCCTCAAGCCTACAGAGTCTGCGCTACTGTAGCTGGTCAGTGTCAGAACTGCACTGCAGAAATGTAGTGGTCCAGGTCCATCTTGTCTTAGGCGCTGGGGTAACATCTGGTGGCATCTTCATATTCCAGGGCTTTTGTCTTCTCTACCCATCTACACCCTCCCCTCACCCTACACCTGGAAATCCAATTTCCTCTGAATTCAGGGCATTTGAGACCCAAACTCAGGCATATAAGACAGCCCAAAGGGCTGTATTCCATCTTCACAGCACTGTAGAATTTAAAAACCATAGGCCACTGTTCAGCAGCTGTGTGACGACAGGCAAATTAATAAACCTCTCTGAGGCTTGGTTCCCACCTCTGTAAGATGAGGCTAATAACCCCTCCATCACAGAGCTGATGCGACAACTCAATGATGTAACATATTTGCAGAGCCTAACACGGGCTCTCACATATGGAAGGCACTTGGTAAACATTTACCTCCTACCTTGCTATCTTCACACGGCCCCATACTCCCAGCTCTTCTTGCCTCTCTGCTAACCCCAGCTAATGGTGGGTGCTGGGCCCACTGGCACCATGCTGATGTTTTAGATCCCAGGACAGCAGGAAGCCAACCATTACACACACACTGAAAGTGAAAAGCAAGTAACCATGACCTTGAACAGAAAGGACATTTATATTTACTTCAGTGGCTATAAAAGATACCATAAAATATACTATGCAGCACACATCCTCATGATTAATAACAGATATTGCAAATTATACTCTCAGGTCCCTGGGTGCCTCCAACTGGTCACTAAGAACAATTAATTCTTTCAGGAAATAAAAGGATTGTGAATTGTCACTGATCACTGAAAAATCTGCTTGCTGTACTATGAATAAAGAGAACAGAAAATGAGGCTCAAATGCAGGGGATTTTTTGCTCTTGTGAATTGGGTGAAGTAAGATCAGAGAGGCTCAAATACAATGACTGTCTGTGAGAGCGGACAGTAGGACCTGCCGATGACAAAGATGTGGGAATTAGAGCAGGGGGTTAGGGATGTCCAAGAAACAGGAGCAGACAACCAGGCTAGGGGGAGAGCAGTGCTGGCAGTGAGCAAAGGGGTGGAAACACAGACGCTGCAGAGGGACAACCTAGCCACAGTGACAGTTTTCAGCAGCAGGACTAAGGTCTCCAGGAGGACTAGGGGGAGAGAAGTAGAATTCCAGGCCTGAAGCTGGGGCCACTGAACGAGAACCAAAGGGATAAGTCAGCAAACAGTAGAACAAGGTTGGTGCTCAGGTCACAGAAAACCAAGGTCCAGGGTTTCAGCGGAGCCTCTGAGTTCCTGGCCTTGGGCTTCTTAACTCCTCCAACCAAAGTCTCAGAGTCTTCGAAGGTGAGCGAGACCCCCAAGAAGCAGGAAGTGGGCCCACAGTGGAAGTGGCCCCATGGGCTGGAAGGATTATAGGGGCAAGAAGCCAAGCAGAAGATCACACCGATACTCAATTCAGGTCCACTCTGACCTCATGGGCATTGTGCGTTAACTCCCAACCTAGAACACAAATCCCAACAACCAGACCCTGGCCTTGTGTTCCCTAGGTCTCCCTGGGAAACCCTGAGGAAGCAGCAACCAAGAGGAACCGTAAGCCCTTGGCAAGGATCATGAGCACACTGGAAGGGCATGTGCCCGGGGTCAGATGAGAGGTCGGTGGGTTAGGAAGGACAAACCCTGCAACCTTGAAGGAGTTTTTATTGGAACACAGTACAGAAAACACCAAAGGTCACTGTGACAGCCATGAGTTCATGGCTGCAGTGGAGTCTGCCCCAGATGCCAAACCACCTTGCTGAGGTGTGACTTGCTCTGGAGGGTGACATGGCAAGGAAAGGGAAGCTGTTCTCTGTCAAGTTCAGAGACCATGCTCACCTGAAACAAAATCAAACTCCCTACAAGATCAGTGTGCCCCCAGTGGCACCCGTGGCACGTCTTGACAATGGGAAGGATCAATGGAAGTAGCGGGGACATCCAACCCAATGGTACACACCAGGAGTGGGAACGTAGGCTGCTGAGTCTTCTTGGAGAAGAAGAGAGAGCCACAGTTCAGCTTGTGGGCCCTGACACAAGGGCCACAGTGTGCGGAGAGGATTCCCAAGGGGGAGGAGGATGGTGCCATGGACAGTGACTCTGGGGCTGCAGGCCACCATGTGGCAAAAATGGAGCAGCGGGGTGGAGGCAGGACCAGGGACTGAGGAGTGGAAAGACACCAGAATGGGGTGAGAGAGCAATTCCACTCAGAGTGCAGCAGGAAACAGCCAGCAGAGCAGCGCCAAGACCCGGTCAGCCAGCTTCAGCCCCTTCACACACAGGATGAGCTCATGGAGGTTGATCTGCCATAAGTTGAAGGCCTCGCTGAAAGAGATCTGGGTCCTTCTGAAGAATGAACAGGTATTCTTCTTCTTGTGCCTGGAAGAGGGGAGAGAAGAAAGGAGAAAAGAGATATAAAGAGGCAAGAAACACCAGCTCTGTATCATTTAGAAAAATTAAAGATGGTGGCTTTGGACAACTCACCAACTCCTTGACCCGAAGGACCACCCGAAGGATCATACTATACCACTATCCAGTCAGGAGCCAGAGGAACTCAAATATTTCAAAGGCATTTTTCAAATAAGTGAGATAACAAAAGTAGTTGTTTCATATGGCATCAAAGGTCTAACAAACCTGCTGGGTAGAACATTCCAATGTTTCTTTCTCCAAAAGCATAGTAAATAGATGCCAACCAAGAATCCCCCAAACTCAAAAATAGTCAAAGCCTTTCCAAACTTTTCTAAGGATACGAATCACTTGGAAACCTGGTCAGGTGGTCCTGGGAAGCTAAGGCCATTACGAATTCAGCCCAGCTCCATCCCTTCTACACCAACAAAAGGACATGATGAAAATTGGTGTTTATGATGATGACCTATTCAAGACTTCATTTCCTGAACTCTCAGAGGAAGAATAAATCAGAGTTGGCCCTTTCAGTGTGCAGTATATTATGCTGTAAACTAATTCAATATTTGATAGTGGGTACGTGATCTATGTGGTCAAATCTCCCTTCACCAGACAGGTTCCCAGAATGGTCCATTCCCTGCCTAGCATGGAAGGGCTGGGAGTTGAACACCATCTTAGGCTTCCTCTCTTGAGTGAGAACTATCAGCCAGGGCATGGTCCTTCTGACGTATTCCTCACACTCAGTTACAGAGACTAAAACCCTCTTTCTTCTGGAACTAGCTCCCTGAGGAAGCACACTTCTCTTCCTCATTAATGCCCAAAGGTGCTGAGGCATCTAAAAAGATCTGAGGCCAGGCATGGTAGCTCACACCTGTAATCCCAGCACTTTGGGAGGCCAAGGCAGGTGGATCATTTGAGGTCAGAAGTTTCAGACCAGCCTGGCCAACATGGTGAAATAGCCTGGCCATCTCTATTAAAAATATAAAAATTAGCTGGGCATGGTGGTGGGCACCTGTAATCCCAGCTACTCAGGAAGCAGAGGCAGGAGAATCACTTGAACCTGGGAGATGGAGGTTGCAGTGAGCGAAGATTGCACCGCTGTACTCCAGCCTGGGGGGCAGAGTCAGACTCTGTCTCAAAAAAAGAGAATAAATTAAGTAAATAAATAAAAAGATCTCAGATCTCAAGAGAACCTGAGTCACAGCCTCACCTGCAGGACAATGAGCACCGGCCTGGCTGATAAGTCCCAGGACAAGTTAGCAGAGAGATACACATCAGGGCTTCCTGACCTCAAACTTGGGGTACTTGGATGAGGTTGAGATGGTCAGAAAACATTTCAAACTTTAACTTTTTCCTGCAGGGAGATCTGGAGATTGGGAAGCTCAGGCAGGGCCCTGTGGTCTGGTGGGGAAAAGTGGAGGCAAGAGTGGGTCCCCCGGGGCAGGCCAGGGGGATGGGAGGGGAGGAGAAGGAGGAGGCCACACTCACTCGGCTAGCGCCCTGACACAGCAGCGTGACATGTTGAGAAAGGAGCTGGCACTGGCGCGGGTACCCAGGGCGGTCTCGATGCCACGTAGCAAGTCATTGGTCTTTAAGATGAGCAGCATCTGGCGCGGCACATGGTTGAGGAGCTGGCTGATCTGGGGGAGGTAGTTGCCTGCGTTGTTGCGAATCTCTAAGTCCTGAGAAAGCAATGGGGAGACAGGAACAGATGGTTGGTGTGGGCAGTGGGGCCAGGGGTGGCAGAGGTCTGGCAGGCTGCGACCAGAGGGCTGCAAGGAAGCCCCAGAAGGGAGCTTCAGGCATCACTGTCTTGGCACTGCTAGGAGCACTCCCCATAGAGAAGTCTAGCACCAGGCACTATATACCCTGACAAACCTAGAATGGGATGTCTCAACCAAACGTCTAGGAAAGCGTTGGATGTGGCACAGGGTACATTGAGGGAGACCAGGTTCTTCTCCAAGGCTTTTTCACTGGCCACCAATTTTAGATCAGGTCTGGAAGGAGCCCTAGAAGCCAGTAACAGGTGAGTCTGGTCTCCTACACCTCCAAGCCTAGCTCAGGCTGACCTGACTTCAACCCAACTCCCAAGTCCTGCCCCACAGCCTGCACCCCACCAGACCTATGCTGCTGCTCACACTCCATTGCTTACCACTGTCCTCACATGAGACTGCTCACCACAGTCTCATCCCACCTGTGGCCCAAGGTTTGATGCCCTGGCTTCGGATCCAGGTTTAGCCCTTTGCGCTGGTCATCACCACAGCCCTTGATCCACTTTAAGTTTGGAGTCTGGCTTCCCCACAATCCCTGTCCCTGTACTCTTCACAGCTCTAGGCAGATAACTGCTCCCAATCAAATCTTGAACATGAGTGTGGCTCTGACCCCTTTTCAGTCTCCAAAGATCTGATGATGATGATGGTGACAATAAGCACCATATATTAAGCATTTACTAACGAAGTCAGGCACTTTGACAATGTTCGAATGTATTAATTGATTTAATCCTCACCACAACTCTATCAGGGTATTATCCCCATTTAAGATGAGAAAACAAAGGCATTGAGAAGTGAAGTGCTAGTGAGTGGTGAGATGGGACGTGAACCCAGGCAGCGCAGCTCCTGAGCCTGTGCCCTCACCATCTGGCAATACCACACCTCCTCACCTCACAGCAGGACTGCATGACTCTGAGTAAGTCCTCTAATCTCTTTCAACTCAGTATCCTCACTCAAAAATTGGGAATGCCAATACCCTCTGTACCCACCTCCAAGCAGCACTGGGAGGGTCACCAGAGATAGGGTCTCAGGAAGTAATCAGTGCCAAGTCATAATAAGGGGCCCCAGGGTGCTGTCAGGAGGCTTTCCTACCTCCTTCTCTCCAAAGCAGCAGGGCTCTTGGTCCCTTCAGGAGTACGTGTGGGCTGCTGAGAAATGAGTCACTGCAAAACTTGAAATGCCTCTCAGGCAGGAGCTATCAGACTGGAACATCTCAACACAAAGCCGGACCTCAAGAGGTGCCTGTGGCCGCAGCTACAAGTCCCCTACTCACCACAGCGACCCCCCTCTCAGCAAGGTCAGGACTGGCCTGGTAACAGCCTCTCAGCTCCTTCACCCACCCAGGCTACTGACGGGGGACAGCTCTTAGAGCAGCAGAGGCTCCAACTAAGACACATCCTGACGGTAGTGTCTGCAGTAAAGCCTGTTGGGTGTCTACCTGACAGTCTTCATCCTAATCTCCTTTATTAAAAGAATCCAGGCCCATGCCTGTAATCCCAGTACTTTGGGAGCCCAAAGTGGGCAGATCACAAGGTCAGGATTTCGAGACCAGCGTAGGCAACACAGTGAAACCCCGTCTCTACTGAAAATACAAAAATTAGCCAGGCATGGTGGCAAGCACCTGTAGTCCCAGGTACTTGGGAGGCTGAGGCAGGAGAATCCCTTGAACCTGGGAGACGGAGGCTGTGGTAAGCCAAGATCGTGCCGCTGCACTCCAGCCTGGATAACAGAGTGAGACTCTGTCTCAAAAAAAAAAGAACCCAATTTTGTTCACTTGATCCCTTGGGGTCATGCTTGCTAGGGAGGCGCAGCCTCTCCCTGGCCCCAGCAGGGAATCTGGATTGAGTTCAGGGCTGGCTCTGCGCTCTCAGTCCCTTGCCACCTGACTGGTTTAGGCAGGGACATGTGACCTGCTTCAGCCAATGAGCCAAGAGGAGGCTGTTGGAGGGCGGCCAACAGTTCTAGGAAAGGTTTTCTTGCTCTTAAATGATATAAGGAGACATAGCTCCTTATTCTTGCCTCCAGCCACCACTAAATGAAGATGTGAAGCTTGGAACCACCACAGTCATCTTGGAATTGTGATGAAAAGCCCAGAGGATCATGAAAGGTAGCCCAGGGACCTGAATTTGTTTATCCACTGAGTCAATGCTCCCATTTCCAGGCTTCTTGTTAGAGAGAGAACAAATTCCTTATGTTTAAGCCATGGTTAGTTGGGAAAAACATTCTCCCTCATACAATGTTGGAGGCTCCCCTAATTCTCAATGAGAGCAGGGCTCAGAAAGACCGAGCCTGTAGGTCCCTGAGACCAGGTTGACCTGGACTAGCTAACTTTATGCTCTCTCTGGGTTGTCCCAAGCGAGCAAATGGAGTAAGTATCTCCAGAACATTCACAAATGCCCCTCTACCAGACCCAGTCCCAGGATGGCAGGGACCTTACAAAAAGTTGCACAAGACGGGGCCTTTGCCCTCCGGGTGCTCACCACATAGCTGGAGAGTTAAGGCGTGCAGAAAAAATAACTACATGGGGCACGGTGTAATTGCCCAGTTAGTAATACAAGCATTAAGGGGTGAGTGTTAGCAAGAGTGATAAAAACAGGCTTTCTGGAAGAGAAAAGATTTATTCAAAGGACTGGCATTTAAACTGAGTCTTTATCAATGAATAAGAGTGCAAAAACAGGCCAGGGGTGGTGGCTCACACCTGTAATTCCAGCATTTTGGGAGGCCAAGGCAGGCAGATAGCTTGAGGCCAGGAGTTCAAGACCAGCCTGGCCAACATGGTGAAACCCCATCTCTGGTGGCGTGTGCCTGTAATCCCAGTTACCTGGGAGGCTGAGGTACGAGAATCATTGAACCTGGGAGGTGAAGGTTGCAGTGAGCCAAGATGGCACCACTGCACTCCAGTCTGGGCAACAGAGTGAGACTCTGTCTCAAAACAAAAGAATGCAAAAATAAAATTATACCTTAGTTAATAAAAACAAATATATACCGAGGACCTAGTACATGCCATGTGACCTCATCCAGGCCTGAGGCTTTAAATGTCACCTCACCCTGAAGACTCCAAAATTTGTATCTTAAGTCTAGACCTCTTTTATGAACTCCCGTCTTAGCTGCCCACGACATCTCTACCTGCTCAAGAGAACTGTTGACTACCCCACCACAAATACGTCCTTCCCAGTTTTCCCTATGACAGGAAGTAGCACCATCCCCCACCATAAAACAACCCAAAAAGCTGGGATGCAGCCTTGACCCTGCCCTTCCCCTCCTCTCCACCTCCAATCCTACAGAAACCCAATCTTACTTCCAAAACACACTTGGGCTCCAGTGCCTCTCTCCATCTCTGTTGCCACTGGTATAGTCTGAGCTCCTATCATCTCTCCACCTGGAGTCCTGGCCCAGGCTCCTAAATGATCACCACCATTCATCTTACCCTACTCAAGAGAGATACTTAAAAAGAGCAAGCCTGGGCATCTCCCTCTCCTGCTCAGGGCCTATCAAAGGCTTTGTTTTGTACTGAGAATTAACTGGAACATCTTCCTGTGGCTTTTAAGACTCTGTGTGATGATCTTCTGCCCACAACTCCTCAATCTTTTTTTTTTTTTTTTTTTTTTTTTGAGACAGAGTCTTGCTCTGTTACCCAGGCTGCAGTGCAGTGGCACGATCTCAGCTCACTGCAACCTCCGACTCCCGGATTCAAGTGATTCTTCTACCTCAGCCTCCCGAGCAGCTGGGACTACAGGCGCAAGCCACCATGCCTGGCTAATTTTTGTATTTTTAGTAGACAGGGTTTCACCACATTGCCCAAACTGGTTTCAAACTCCTGACCTCGTGATCCACCTGCCTTGGCTTCCCAAAGTGCTGGGAAGGTGTGAGCCACCACGCCCAGCCTCCTCAGTCTTATCCCACCATCCTGCTCATCACACTCTGGCCCATACCAAACGCTTTCTTTCCTCTTGGCCTCAGTGCGACTGGAATGTGTCCTTCAAGCTCTTCCTGGAACTGGTGCCTTTCTTGTCCTTTGAGCCTCAGCGTAAATATCACCTCCTCAAGCCAGGTCTTCTCTGAGTGCTGCCCCACCCCCTTACTCACAGCACACTACTTGTTTCCTCCAGGGCACTGACAACCTGCAATTATTCCATTCACCTGTTTGTTCACTTGTTTACTGTCTGTCTCCCTCAACCAAAGTGTAAATTACACAGAAGGCCTGTCTGCCTGTGCATCATGGGATCCTCAGCTCCTACCCACAGCCCAGTGAAAACAAATGCCTGTCAAATGAACGAACTTCAGGAACTACGGGTAGGCACTTTACATGCCCTATCAATAAGGCAGAAATTATCCTTATCATCCCTATTTTACAAAAGAGGGAAATTGTCTCTCTTCCTTTGAGATGATGGACTTCAAGGCTGTAGAAGCTAAAAGCAATTGGTGGTCATCTTTGCCACTAAGCTTGCTGGAGAAGGATGCCAACTTGGAGGAAAGTGGAGCCGAGAAAGATGGGGAGAGATGGCCTCTTTGATGACATCATTTGGGAATCTGGATCTAGCTATCCCCAAAGCTGCATATCACAAAGCAGCTTACAGGGTAAGCAGCTTACTCTGAGGCTCAAAGAGGTGATGAGGACCACCCAAGGTCACACTGTCAGGAGAAGGAAGTGCTGGAGCCCAGGGCTTTCTGGCTGCACAAGCAAGACCCTGTCCCTTATGGTGAGCAGGGGCCTCAGCTGGAGCCCAAGGCCATCCCCCACATGGATGCCGGCAAGTCTAACTAGGTCTGGCAAATTAATAGGCTGTGAATACAGCAGCCAGTTCTGTGGAGCTGGAAAGGCCTCCTGGAAGAGAGCCCACCCTGAGCCAGGAGGAATGAGCTGGCCCCCATAACCCTCTTTCATGCAAGCAGAGGTGCGTTTAAGTACCAGGTAGAGGTGCTCCCGATCTGTCTCCTAGCCCAGACTCCATGAGACTCCTGTCTAGGTGAAATGGAGAAATGAGCTACAAATAAAGACCACAAAAAAGCTGCTTTAGCCTGGCCAACATGGCGAAACCCTGCCTCTACCAAAAACACAAAAATTAGCCGGGCGTGGTGATGTGCACCTGTAATCCCAGCTACTTGGGAGGCTGAGACAGCAGAATCATTTGAACCCAGGAAGAGAAGGTTGCAGTGAGCCGATATCATGCCACTGCACTCCAGCCTGGGTGACAAAGCGAGACCCTGTCTCAATAAACAAATAAAAAGCTGTTTCACTAAAAAGTCTCTAGACAATGAGATGAGCACCCCTGCTTGAGTGCCACCTGAGAAGTGAAGGGCCCTCTCGGCTTGGCACCTTAGAGGAGCCATGTGATGGGAGACAGTGCCAAGCAGGGCACAGCAGAAGTACTGCAGACGTATTTAAGAGATGGTCCCTAAGGATTCCCAGAGGTCCTGTGGGAGAACGTGGTGAAAGCCTGGAATCTAGTGTGAGCAGGTCAGAGCTAAAGTCACAGAAGTCTGAGTTATTACAGTTAATGTGACCCTGTTTCTATTCCAGACTGAGAGGGCTTGGAGTGGAGAGAGGGAATATCATTCCCTTCTTCTCCTCCCATCCAGGGCACTATTTCCCCTTGTCTTTCTCTTCTTGTCCCATATAGCTCCAATTCTTCCCCTCCCCCCACACACAGCCCACCCGTCTAGACTCTCAGACCCCGCTCGGAAGGGGTCCACAGGCCATCCCCAGCCCTGCCTCCTGCATTTAGGAAGAGGCAGGGCCTGGAGGGGCCCCTACCTCAGTGGCCGTGACGGGAGCTTGGCTGATGCCTCTGTTGACTGAGTCCCATGACCGCGCCGTCAGCATGCAGGCAAATAAGGGGTAGAGATCCCCGGCTCCCAGGCGCTGGCTGTACTCCTTCACTCGCTTCATGTCAGTCCAGATCAGAGACTGCCAGAGGTGGCAGTAATTCAGGCGGAACTCTTCCGTGAGCACCTAGGGTGGAGGCAGCAGTGGTGGGAACTGAACCTCCTCTCCCCACTGGAGACCCAAGTCCCTGGCTGATGCCAACCATCGCAAGAGGACAATGAGGACTGGGCCTTCCCATGGCATCTGCTTCTCCCCCAGAGCTCTGCCATCCCTGAAGGCTCAAGTTCAAAGCGACACTTTGGCAAGCCTTGACCCTGAGTGACAGAGACTATTAACTGCCCGCCAAAGTCTACATTCTCCTCTTCTTCCCAGGTGACACGCTACTTTCTCAGCCTCCCTCAAACTTAGATGTGGTCCTCAGCATGAGCCCAAATGATGGAAAGTGGCAGAAGCTCCTCTTCCGAGCCCTTCCCTCAGAAACTTACCAACACATGCTCCTCCAAGCCCTCACCCCTCTGCCAGCTGCCAACACCATCACCTCTGGTGAGGCTTGGGAGGCAGAGCCTGGCAGCCACCTCCACCCATCCAGGACTGGCATGTGAGCAAACAATTAAGCGTCTGTTGTATCTGGGCCTTTGTTCATTTTGGGCCACGAGTGAAAACAGCTAGCCTACCCTAAACTAATGCATTCTACTTCGTTAAGCCTTTCAGAAGATGTGAGATCAGGTCCCTGAGAAAAGAAGCAGAATCCTCTAGGGAAAACCTCCCCCAGGACCATCTGCCTGACAGTATCAAGCCAGGCCCTGGGGTCTAGATTGGCAGTGAACTTCCCAACTTCCGAGAAGGTGCTCATGGCTCCTTTGAACCAAATCTGCATCCCGAGGACACGGTCTGAGGCCCTCCAGCCACTGTGGGCTGCCTGCCTCCTTTCCCACTAGGTAGTATGTTCTCACTGGGCCTGAACATGTAGTTATTCCTTCCCGCTGAAGTCCCAGCTCATGCAGAGGACAGCTCACTTCTGAGGATCCTTGCTGGTCTGGAGTTCCACGGGAAAGTACAATCTAATATACAAGCCTATTTCTGTCTACTCCTCAAAATAGCCTGTAAAGGGGGTGCTGTCAACCTCACCTTCAGGAGGAGGAAGCTGAAGCTCTGAGAGCTCTGTGACAGTGACTTGCACAAAATGGCAGCTCCAAGGGAGACGGCAGGGCCCTTTCCAGCTACCCTAGCTATCCCCCTCCCCGTTCTGCAGCTAATTAGAGTGGTGGGCAGACCCCAACCCCAGAAGCCCCGGGGCTGGGTGATAAAGGCCTCTTCTACCTGGTAAAGCCCGTGGTCCAACAGGACAATCTCCGCCTTTCCTGTGCCCGGGCGCTTCCGCACCAGCACGTTGCCGGGGTGGGGATCGCAGTGCACAAAGCCATTGACGAAGATCATCTCACTGTATATCTTGCCCAGGTGTCGCGAGATCTGAAAGAGAAGGGAGGCAGGTGGGAGCGCCTCTCCATTCACATCTATCTCAGGGACTTCTATCTGGTCTCCTGATGTGGTCACTTTTAAGAGGAGAACAGAGAAAATGGGCGGGCCGGAGTGGTAGCGTTGGGAGTGATGGTTTGAGATGACATACTTTTTGAGTTTAAGACTTCTTAACTTTAGCTGCACCTTAGAATCATGAAACCATGTGGGTGGCACGAGGCACCAGTATTTTTGAAAGTTCCAAGGAGATGTGAGCACATGATTAGGTGGGAGAACTACGCTCTCCACTCCCACGCCCGCCCCTCCACACATCCCCCATTTCCCTCCTCCATACCCTTTTATAAGTCCTTCTCCATCTTTTCCCCCAAAGCTGAGAATGGGCTGCAAAGTGGAATTGGGGGAGCCATTCCACTCACCCCTTCTCCACAGAACAGGGCGGGGGGCTGAGAAGCAGGAGCAGGTGACCCCACCGCCTCCTCTAGGGCTACCCCACCTGCTCCAGGCCTGTGCCAGGTGGACCCAGAGTCACAAGCCCGTCTCCCCGCTCCCTGCTCCCCTCCCTGCCAGAGCCCAATGCTGATCTGATTTATGATGTCTGCACAGAAGAAATGACACTAGAGGAGCCGTTTAAATCATCCTGTCACTGCAGCTGTCCCTGACGAGGCAGTCTTCTTATCTACGGTCCCTTTTTTATTAAAGCTAAAAGGCTCTTCCCAGCTAGGGAACAGCTGCTGAATAGAGCCAGACCTGGGCCCATAGAGGGACTGTCGACAGCTTTCTAGGGGACAAAGAGATGCTCGACCCAGAAAGCTGACACCCCAGGACACAAGCTGCCCTTGGCAACCCTCTCGACCGCAGTTGGACCCCGTGGTCATTAACAAACCTATCCTGGTGAAAGAGGAGAGGAGCTGGGGCCCAAGGGCGGGGAAAACAGGATTGGGATCTTAAAAATGCACCTCTTTCCCCCAGCCTGTTAAGTCCTACCTGACCAGTCCCTCCCTCCTGCCTGGTCTAATCTCACACCACACTGACATTCCAGCCACATTCGCTCTTTCTCTTCCCCAACAATCCCTGTGCTTTCTAGTCTCGGGGCCTTTGCACATGCTATTCCTTCTGCCAGGAGCATTCCTGCCACCTCCCCTTCACCTGGCTTACCCCCTCTCTTCCTTCCCATCCGAGCTCAGCATCACCTCTCTGGGGAAGCCCCCCCCCCCCGGCCTCCCAGGCAAATGAGGTTCTCTTACTACACACTCTCAAACGCCTTTCCTTTCAATGCACCAGCCCACTATTTGTGTGATTATTTGATTAATGACCATCTATCCCACTATCACACACTCCCAAGATAGTAGGGACTCACCCTGCTTGGTTAAACAGCTTTATTGAGGCATAATTTATGGACCATTGACTGGCTCTATTACGTATCCACTTGCTTGTAACAGTGGCAAACGTGACTACGACTCCACGTTCAACATGAGTGAGACCCTCAGCCGTTTTCCTAAAATGCTGCGGTTCCTCCTTCAATGCTTATTCTAACCCCATTAATCTCCTCCGAACCTCAATCAATTATAATTTGCCCCAAATTAAAGCATCAAGAATGACACTACTTTAGCAACAACAGATGACATCTTCATTAGGCCCCAAAAAGTAAGGACAATTATGATCTTCATTTGCAGATGAGAAATTGAGTCATCAAGGTTTATCTTACTCACAGCCAGACGAGGGTTGAGCCAAGATGCACACCAGCTGACCTGGCAGCCTTCTAGTCACTGCTATTCTACGCTGGCTTGCACCCACTTCTGCACTTTTCAATTGAGCTTTGTGACCTTCAACAAGTTGCTTCTGCCCTCAGCTTCAGTAAAATGGAAATAATAATAGTGCCACTCTTGGGGTCACTGTGAAGGTAAATGAGAATGCCACGGTGCTGTGCCCTGGCGACTCTCATAAGTGCTCCTGTGGTTGTCATTACCGATTCCCCGTAACACCCCTGGAAGGTGAGCAGACTAGCTTTCATTGTACATTTTTAAAAGGTGAAGACAAGTAAGACACTGTGCCTGCTACCACGCCAGCCCTCCAGTGCCTGTCATTTTCCTGGGGTGAAACAGACATTCTAGTACTCGGTGTCTGGCGTTAGGAGCAGGACCTTGCCCCAGGTCAAATTCTCAGACTCAGGCTGACATGCCAAATGCCCCAGGGCCACCACTGTCTGCTTCCTTGGAGAGGGGGCCCCTGGCCAGGGCTGCTCCTGGGGGGGACAGCCAGTCAGTCCTCACCTCGATGTCACCAAGAACCTCTTCTGTGAGGCTCTTCGAAGCTCCACAGAGCCATGCTTTGAAAGGCTATATCTGTCAAACCAATTGCATTTATTAAGTAATCATTCATTTTTATTTGTCAAGGATGCATATAAGGTCCAATCAGGGCTCCTGATCAGCCCAAGATAAGCAGTGCAGCCAGACTGAGCTGACAGAATTCTAGCCAAAAAGGAGAGAAATGACATTTCATTTAGTCTGGGCAGACCTGTCATGGGGAGATGTATGATCTCCCTTAAGTTTTCTGAAATGTTGCTAATCACTCTGGGATCCCTATTACTACATTGAAAGATGGCTCCTAGGGGTCTGGGGGCTCAGGATGGGGGAGCTCTTGCCCCTGAGGAGTAAGCTGCTGGTGGGGTTGGGGAGGGTGGGGAATGCCAACTGCTGCTCATATCCACACGAGAAGAGCCTCCAGAGCGGCCTGCTCCATCTCAACACCCCCAATCCACCTGCCTCTACTTGGTGTCTTTCCATTTGGGGGCTGTTCCTAATGTTTGCTTTAACCAGATTTCACCAGGATAGACAGATACAGGAGGCGGAGTTCCTGCCAATGGCATGGTTCTGTCACTTTGGGCAGGGAGACCTGGGGATAAGGCACCTCCCTTCTTAGTCTGGGTCCAAGTTCCCTTAGCAGCTACGTGGGACTAACGCCACCTGCTCTACTTGCTCACAGAGCAACCTTGAGATTCAATGTCAAAATAGGATCGCATAAGAGAAAGCACTTCACACACTATAAGACACACACACAAAAGTTTCTTTTTTTTCTTTTTTGATGCAGTAGGTTATCATTTTTAACTTAGAAAAAATACATGCCCATTATCACTCTGAAGGCATAATTTTCAAAGTTTAAAGCATGGCTCACATAAATACAGAATGTGTGCCAGGCACAGTGGCCCACACCTATAATCCCAGCACTTTGGGAGGCTCCGGAGGGATGATTACTTAAGGACAGGAGTTTGAGACAAGCCTGGGCAACATAGCAATACCCCATCTCTACAAAAAACTCAAAATTCAGCCAGGTGCGGTGGAGCATGCATATGGTTCTAGCTACGCAGGAGGCTGAGGCAGAAGAGTCGCTTGAACCCAGGAGGTGGAGGTTGCAGTGAGCCAAGATCACACCATTGCACTCCAGCCTGGGCAACAAGAGTGAAACTCCGTCTCAAAAAAATAAATAAATAAATAAATAAATAAGGAGGCAAGTAAGATGTAGAGCTGGTTCAAGAGAATTTTGAGAAAGTGGCTGTTTATGAGCACTGAAACAGGAAAAAGAGACTAAGGTTTCTGGATTCGCTAAAAAACTGGTTACTATTCTATGAGGCATAAACAAAGTCATAACCTTTGGGGTTATCTTTTACGCTAGACAGAAATTATTTGCATCTCTGCTGGATAAGATCTTCAAGTTGATGCATGATCAGTCTGAGCCTTAAATTAATTGTCAATAGCAAAGTCAAACAAAAGTACATTTCCCCAGATATTAAAAAAAAAATCCTCTAGGGAGCTGGTTGACCAATGCCCAAGAATGCCATACCACAGTCTCCTGGCCTTATTTCTAAATGTTGGATGACTTATCTCTACATCTCTTAAGAGTTGTGTTATTCTTTCTAGGAACTGAGTTTCCCAGAAGAGAGAAACCAGCCCCCTCCTACTCAGAGGCATTGAGGAGAAACCTAAGGAAATTACTGTGCACACGACCCTCTCCCTTCTATAATATATTGTATGTCTTGCTTAAGAACAGATCATTGTGTCCCTAACCCTGCCCCATGCCCTGTGAACGGTGGCATCTGCATAATGACAGGAAGTACCATCTTTTTAGAATGGTGCATGATAGACACACCCGACAGTAATAACTTAAGCAGACCCATATGGCAGACATACCTGACTTAACTTCAGAAATGCAGGTTGCACCAGGCATGGTGGCTCACGCCTATAAGCCCAGCACTTTGGGAGGCTGAGGCAGGCAGATTACCAGGTCAGGAGATTGAAACCATCCTGACCAACAAGGTGAAACCCCGTCTCTACTAAAATACAAAAAATTAGCCAGGTGTGGTAGTGGGTGCCCATAGTCCCAGTTACTCAGGAGGCTGAGGCAGGGGAATCACTTGAACCCGGGAGGCAGAAGTTGCAGTGAGCCAAGATCGAGCCACTGCATTCCAGCCTAGCAACAGAGTAAGACTCCATATAAAAAAGAAAGAAAGAAAGAAATGAGGGTTGCTAGCTGGAGGTTGCTGAGGACAGCGTACTAAATGAAACTGTGATATATCCTGCATGCTTTTTACAAGTGGTGGTAGTTTTCCTGTCCAGCCTGCCACCACTGAACTAACTGTCTCATAAGTTCCCCCAAATAAACCCTATGTTTCATTCACTGTCCCTTCCTCGGCCTCTTGAACCTGGTGCCATCCCTATTGAAGTTGAAGGGGTCCAGTGTGACAGATAATGATAGCTAACACACTATTCCAGCACCATGCCAGGCACTTCACACTGACAGATTCAGCACTGACTGCCATTCTCTGCAGTAAACAAGTGAAGGAATCAGGACACAAAATGGAAAGTTTGGTCTCTTGGTCAGCAGTTAATCTAAACCCAGGGGCACTGGCTCCAGAGAACAGGCCTCAATCGCACCGCTATCCTGCCTCTCCACTCACACGGAAGCTCTTCCTGGAGACAGAGGCTGCACCAAAGACTTCT